GAACTTGAAATTTTAATTTAAAAAAAATGGTTCCCATTATGCTTCCAGTTCTAATTATTTTTTTTAAAGGATCTAGTTTCATTTCCTGTTCTAAACTATGTTGCGTTTTTTTTCCTCCATATTAATAAATCCGATTCTGGTTTCAGGTTCCAATTTTTAGATTTGACTCTGTTTTGAATGCTTCAGGTTTTATGTTATGATTCTAACGGCATGTGTTTATAAAGATAATTATAAGAGCTATAATTAGATTTTCGGTTAAAATATTGTCCTCAAGACCTCATCTTATGAGTTCTCATCTTTTCATCTCCTTCATATCTTAAAAAAAAATCTCCAAAAATTAATATATAGTTATTTACACTCCTTTAAGACTGATTGGAAGTGGTATTATAACTTTATAATAATCAAACGTTTATTTATTTTATTATTTAAACTACCTTTATTTATTTTTTTCCTGAATTAATTAATTTTTAATTATTTATTCTAAATTTTTACTATTGAAAAATATTTCATAGAATTTTTAAAAAAAAAAATTTGCACGATTCCTTTTTTTTGTCAACTACTAATATTAATTTAATTTGATATATTGAGTTTATATTTAATATAATATTCAAAATTATTTATTTTTAAACCATTTAAATTGGGTTAGATATATAACGATATAATAATACAATCATTTATAATAATTTAACGAATAAAATTTATTTTAATAATATACACAAAAAAAGAATATAAATTGTTGATTGGTTTAAAAAAATTTTTTCAAATTAAATATTAATTAAATGATATTACATTATATTATATTATATATTGGTGAATATAAATTAAATTATATATTTTTTTTTAAAACTGTAAGCAGATGCCATTTTCAAACCCAACCCGGATATTTTAAACGCTAGACCCCGGTTTTTAATTTTTAAACCCAGCTGATATGCCTTAATTTTTATAGCTTTTATTAGTGAAATAGTGTCCTTTTTTTAAAAAAAAAACTGGTTAAATTTGATTAAAAAGTCACCTCGTTTTTTTGTAAAGTCACATGTTTGTAAAAGCACAATGTGAATATATAAAAAATTATCTCAGGAAATTAGTGATAGTGAATCATCCTTTTTTTAAAAGAAATATTTTTAATTTAAAAAGTTCCTGAAGATCAGTAGCGTCGGTAGGAAGAGGGACTATAAAGTGATTCGGGCTCCCGTAAAAAGTTTTGAAGAGCCCCCTGGAAAATATTTTATTTAGATGCTTTTTTTTGCATATTTTAGGAAGAATTATTTTTTTTTTGTGTGCTAATTTTAGATATCCTTTTCTTTCTTTTGCTCAATTTTAATAAGTATTACCTTTTTTTTTTTAGCTAATGTTGAAAATTTTTTTGAAAAAAAAAATGCCACCACCCCCTTTCCCTTTCAAGTTGTAAAAGCTATCGACGGCACTGCTAGGGATCAAAATATTATTGATTTATCTAATCTATTTTAAAATACTATTTAAAGTGTATCTCAAGGTTTTGTTTTAGATTTAATGGATTCTCAGTGGGTTTATTTTACTTAATCGTATCGTATGAGATATGTAATATTGCTATATTACCAATTTCTTATAAATCCAAAATTAGATAATTTTATAATTCCAATTTCATTTTGTTATGAATATATTTTTAGAGGGGGAAATCTTTTCTTTCTCTCTTTTATTTTTTTATCAATTATGAGAATTTCAGTAATTAATGGATTCTCAGTGGTATATTTTACTATATAATAATAATTAATCTAAGATTTGATATTATTCCAATTTCATTTATTATGAAATATATTTATTTGTAAATCTATTATTATCTTTAAAAAAAATAAGATTAAAACTCCAGAAAACAAATGAATTATCTCGAATAGTAAATAATTGTATGCAGTGCTGTAAAGAACGTCTTAAAAAGTATTTTTGAAAGGGTTACTCTTTTGATTAAACTTTCCTCGTTATTTTATTTTTTTAAATATAGAAGAACTTTAATATAAGTACCAAATCAGAGACCTGCAGGTCTGGCCCTAAGCCCAGCTACCCTGGCCGGGGTGAAAACTTTTTAATAATAAACCGTGCCAAACCTGAAAATAATACACGCCCGGTTTAGGTCGGGCCGAAAATATTCTTTGGAAAAAATCTGGGCAGTGCAAATGGTAGCATTGCTTGTTCATCTTTTCTTTTAAATTTCTTTTTATTTCTTCCTTTCTTTTATTCTTTAATCCTACTTTATATTCTTTTATTTATTATATCTATTATTATTTATTTTTTTTATCTGATCCTTCAATTTTCAACTATAATTTTTTATGGAATGGAATTAATTAGAGTTATTTTAAAATTAGAACACGGTATAATCATTTTTTTTAAGTAATTATTTCTCCGAATTCCTAACTTTTCCCTTGTTCTTTAATTTATTTAATTATTAGCTATTATTTTTCTTTTCTCACGTGATTCTGTTTTAAAACGCTTCTATCTTCTTCCACCATGCTACAAAAATATATAAATACGAACTTAATAATATATTCCATTCCAATCTTCTAAAATTAGGTGATTCTGATAAAATATGGCCAGGATTTTGGATCCTTATGCCAAAATTAAGTCATACGCAGACTTTATTTTGATCTAAAAAATGTCACTTGACCATACTACAAATTAACGAGGAGAAAAAATTTATGGTAGAGGGAAAATGTCGGATCAACCCTGAATGATTTTATGGACATGGCTAATATATACATATTTTGATTGAATATTTCTAATCCATAAATCCCCTTGATTTAGCCAATCACCATCTATAGTAGAGGTCTGTTGGGTACGGTCTGTGAATCCTGGTCTTCGGGTAGAGCCCGAGCAAAAAGATTTTTGGAAAACTTGAGCAAAAACATTTTGCGAGATGAGAAACTTGTACAAATTTTAAGGACTCGGCAATTTTAATTTATGGGCAAGATCGAAAATTTTTTTTAAAAATCTTCACGGGTCGATATCTATACTGTGTCCAAACAACGCGTTTTTACTTAAAATTTAGAACATTTAAAAGAACATAATTGAGGAGCATTACCATTTTTAAGAAGGGGGATGGATGGGGAATGAGAAATATAAGACCATTTTTTAAAAAAATTAATATGGATTGTAATTTTATAAAATTAAAACTTTTATTTGCCATTTTAAGTAATCTTGTTGCTTTATTAAATAATTAAACTTCGTTAATAGTCACCTTGGAATTTAAACCACAGGAGATACTTAACAATTGTAAATATGGAAACTGGTGTATAGTCAGTTGATTATTAGTGTTCTTTATCCATTTTTCAGGCCATTTATAAAAATTAAAATTTCTTATATTTTAAATGGAAGATAACACAAAGGATTATTCTAAATTATATCTTGATATTTTTATCTGAAATTGATTTATCGAGAAAAAAAATGCATTTTGCAAAATTATGGATATAGAACCACACAATATACTCAGTAGAATGCTTGTATAAACTTCGTTCAAGTGAAAATGAGTAGTTTACTATAAAACGAACATTTTCTTATCTCCAATGTATAGAAAACAACCTTATAGAAAAAAATATCATTTTTTTGTTAACTATATTTAATAAATTAAATATTTAAATTTATTTGGAACCAAAACCCGATCAAATCTAAAAACCAGAACCTTCTATTGGAATGCCCCCCCCCCCTTCTTCGATTTTTAGAAAAAAATATATCCAGTCACCAATTCTAACAAAATGTATAATTTATGTGTTATAATGTACTGAAGATTTCGTGATTCATTTTAAAGTAGTTGATGAGAGGGGTTGAAAAATCTAGCTATCTACTTAAATATTAGCTTAAAATTGCTCTCCCGCAAAATTGTTTGAACCTTATAATTAGACTAAAGGCAAAATTTTTTTAGGTCATGCAAAATGATTTTATATATAAGAGGTAGTTAACTTTAACGAACTATTAATTTTTAAAAAATTTTTAAACAAAATAATTTTTAAATTGAAATTATTGATATTTAGAAGTGGCAATATTTGTTTTGATGCACTCATAAGTATATATTTCGCATTTTGTTACGGTTGCAAAAAATTACGATAATATATGAGGAGATTGATGTTTAATAAAATAAATTTCATTTTTTTAAAAAAAAATTACTTGTTTATTTTTTTTTTTGACAAATCTCAAAAATTAAAGAAAAAATCTTTGTCATAGTTGGGAAAGGATGAAGAAATTGCCTTTTTCTATCATAACAATCTCGGGAATTCACTAAAACATTGTTAATGATTTCGTGTCGATTATATTGGCACTCACAAAAAAATACTATGATTGGGTTAATATGAATCCCGTTAATTTAATTATCGGTCGAATCTCATTAGTGAATAGAAAGAAACTTTTATTTCTATCGCATTAAAAAAGTAGAAAATTTTTTGGTTCCCAAGAAATATTTTTTATTTTAGCTATTATAAATACATCTTACGCTTAACCTATAAAAATTTATTTTGCCAATAATTTTTAATAAAAGATTTTTTAAGACCTAATTATTATTTGAAATTTAGGAAGCCTTATAAATTATTTAATTACTATATTCTTTTTATTTATTATCCAATTTATAACGACAAAAAAAAGGTAATCATCATAGAGCACATAATATTTTAAATTATACTTAAGGGAGAAATCGATTATTAATAATTTATCGATTTTCCCCAATAATATTATTACCTTTTTTTAAAAATAATCATATTATTTTACTCATCAATTTAAATAATATGGATTTTCTCAAAATTATTATTTTTAAAACTCTGTATACATCTCACTCAAGGTAATTCCATTTGTTTTATTTAAACTTAAATTTTGACGCATCTTTTACGTGAATAAAAACGCTGACTAAAACAAATATTATTTGTTTTAAAAAATTAACGAAAACAAAATGTAACGCACGTTATTTGATATACGATAAATATTATTATTTTTTTAAATCGAATTACAAATTTATTCTAATAGTTTAAGAATATTATATATTTATAAAATAGAGAGTAATAAATAGCCTTTATTTAAAATCTATTCTAATTATATATTATTAAAACAGATTACATATATAATCAACAATAATATAATTAATAGTATTATGAATATATATTTATGTATTACATATGAATTATATAATAATAAAAAATTCTAAATGAAAATATTTTTAAAATGTATCCGTCATAAGCATCTTATTTTTACAACAAGTTCTCCTCTAAGTAAACCAATAAGCATTAAAATCTCGCTTTCTTCCCACCGAATCGCCGAACGCTAAATATTTTATACATGATATAATCGTTATAAGTTTTTTAATAATGTAAACCTTGACTTTATTTTACAAAAAAAAATATTAACAATTTGTAGTGAAATTATTGAGGAATATTTTTTAATTTTAATTAAAGAAAAAAGGCGAAATTTGCGTGAAACGATCTATTATCCTATGTAAGGGACGCTTCATTTTTTATCAGAACTGGTATCCGAAATAGATCTAATTATTTTGAATCGTAGTTAAGGCAATGCATCTTTAAGAAGATAGTGATTTCTTGTTGATTTTTTATATTTCTTGAATACTTTGTTATTTTCTTTTAAAATTGAAAAAATCTCCCTCGAAACACCTAAATTTGGCGCTTTACAAATGGATGAACAAAGTAAACGCAATTTAAATGCTTCAAGTTACGAATAATATCAATCATTTTCAAGTTTTGACAACAACAAAATCACTAGTCTTCCAAAAGAAACAATTGCACACTGTCAATGAATTAATACAAAGTTTGAAGTAACTTATAATTTTCTTATATTCCGACTAAGTCAAATATAAATAACTGAATTTCAAAATGTTTCTCTAAAATCCAATAATAATTAGAGCTTACGCATCTTGCAGCAAAACTTGGGCATATCTAATAGCTTCCGAATTTCCCTCAATAGTAATAATCCTTTCATTGTCACCATGGATTGTTTCATCAATCTTAATCTTGGCTTGTGATTCCTCTCGTATTTGTCTGATTCTTTCCCCACCTCTACCAATAATAGCCCCAGCAAGCTAAATAAAGATTATAATTGTTTAGCATATATTTTTAAAATGAAATTTATGGATAGAAATTATAGGATTCTATATTACATCTTTGGGAATGGTAACTTGGGTAGAATTTTCATTTCCATCCCCATTTTCTTGCTAAATATAAATAGTGTGTATATATATGTAAAAAATGTTTTTGAAGTTAAATATAAAAATTTACCTTGAGGAAAGGAAGACCACCTTGTCTAAAATAATATAAATGAAAAAAATTGTTCATAATATAGCATTAAAAATTATTATTTACATTTTCCTCAATTGAAAAATAAAATTGTATAAAAAATAAATTGATTCCTCATTCAAAAAAACATCTTATAATATTAATTATCAAATAATAATCATATCTACCTGTTAAAATCATTGTCAAAATCACTGTGTGAAGGAGGTGGTGGCATCATGTTAATCCTCCTATTTCCTGTAGAATCATCTTTCATACCAGGTCCACCAGGGGTAAAAAAATGGGGTGGCATAGGGGGAGGCATTTTATTTGACCCTCCAAAGTTAAAGGAAGGAGGTGTAAGTGAATGGTGACCACCTCCCCTGGAAGGTGTATTATTTCGGGGATTGTTTGATCTATTACTAGAACTTCTACCAGAACCCCTTCCCCTAAAATCTCCCCTGTTATTGTTGGACGATCTTTGATTTAAAGGAGGCATATTTTGGCCATTATTATTACCTCCCCTAGGCCTATCACCCTGGAAACCACCATAATCAGGAGCAGAATAATAATCATAATCATAGGGATTATAGTTGTATCTTGGACCCTTGGGTGGAGCCTAAATAAAATTAAATTTCTATATTTAAGTGGGTTATATTGTGGGAAAAAATACACTTTACAATAAAGGGATTACTGTAAGTTTAATTTAAAATAGGCAACACAGATATATTATTTATGAAACTAAAAAAATATTATTATAAATATTCAGGTTATAAATAAAAAATATTTTAAACTAAATTTAAGAAAATATAGACCTATGAATTATATGTCAGTATTTATAGATATAAAATGATTAATTAATAAAAATTACTTTGTCCAAAGAATCATAGACTTCATAAAGGCACTCAATTATTTCTGCAGTTGTTCCAGCAATCAATACTATTCTATCAGTGGAATTAGGACACATAGTTGAATATACCTTAACAATAGAATTTGTTCTCTAACAAATAAAAAACAGTTTTAGATATATAAAATTTTATATTACTTCTCTCATTTCTTTTATTCTATTACCACCCTTTCCTATAACAGCACCTGCTTGGCTTTGATGAACAATTATTCTCAGTTCACATTCATTCTCATTTTCAACTCTATTTGACTATATAATATAAATTGTAATTATTCAATAAAAAAATATGGTAACCTCTTTTAAAATTTGTAGTACTTCCTCTAAACAATCAATGTGATTTTTCAAGGTGCCACCAGTAAGTGAAAAAACTCTAGAAAAAATATATTGTTATAAATATGTTATAAACACATAAAAATATTAAGTTAACATTATAAAAAAGAGTATGGGGTGAGAATAAGGTATACCGTTCTGGGGTAGAACTATCAGGGAGACTCAAGGTAATGGCAAACTAGGGGTGGATGTTTTGGATGGAATTGGAACACGATAATTGGTGGCATGGGATTTATTGTAATCAATTCACAAGTGAGGTGAGGCCAAAAAAATTTGGAGTTATTTTTTAAAATAAAAGAGAATTGTCAATAATTTATAAATAATAAAATTTTTAAAATGGATTTTATAAAAATTATTTTTAAAATAATATACATTATTTAAAATCAATATTTATTTTGGATACCTTTTCCCTTAGTCTATTAATTGTTGAACCTCCTTTTCCAATAATAGCCCCAGCATGCTATTTAATAAATAAAATAGATAACAAAATTAAATTTAATACTTTGCTAGGGATTAAAATTCTAGTTTCCATTTCTAACTGTTCAATTCTCGATTTTTTAGATGCATTTCTATCATTGAAGGGTGATCTTGATGAGCGTCTTTTTTGTACTATAAATAATATCATTTATAAGTTATAAATAATTTTACACTACCTTCAGATGTCTCTGAATTTATTGACATCGTATGCTTATCTTATATACAATAAATAAATCAGGTCAAATATGATTCATAGATATTAAAATCATTATGTCATAAATATAAATAAATTACATTATATCGATTTTATAGTATAGTATCTTTTTTAAATAGAATTACATTAAATATGGCGAAATTTAATATCGATAATATCCGGGCTAAATTTAAATTATATTTGTTCCTAGAGGAAGATTGTATAATATTAAACGGAATATGTATTTACTATTTATTAGTAATAAACATTATAAAAATTATGATAAGAATAAAATAATTAAAATTGTAAATTAAGCTTTCTTTTTAATAATTTTTAATCCTAGGCGTGATACCTTGTCAGTTTTTAATAGATTATGAATTAAGTGAGAATTGATAATAAAAATTTTATATACTTTTTAACTTCAAGTTTGATTATGGATTTTAAAAATATAGAATGTCGATTCTTTATCTTTAAATATGAATAATGATATTAACAAACTACAAAAGTAGTAACGTCGATATCATCTTTCCCTTATTCTGCGTCTTACAGCGAACAGCAATTGAATATTTAATTATATATCTCGATATTATTCCAAAGTAATTATACTAGATTAAGAATATAAATGTTTTATTAGTATTTATTTTTAAATTTACAAATTATAATAACATAGCATGGGATAGTTCTTTGTACGTATTTTAAATATAATATATTTGTAAAAACGTTGATTTAAAAAACATCCTAATTTGTTATTTTCAATTTTAAAATATTCCTATAACTATTGATTATATTATATTCTTCAAGTTTTAGTCTAGTCCTATTCTAAATCTATATTATAATTTCCGGACGTCATTCATGCCATTGTCACGTCATGCTGTATGTCATGCCATTCCGTCATGATGTAGTTACTAGTGTTATTAAAAAGCCCGATTTGGATTTTAAAAATGGCCCGATAAAGAATTTTAACCAAAATAATATTGTGTAAACCTCAAGATTTGGCAAGTAAGCCCAAACTTTTCTGACATCTATGAGTAAAATTACCATCCTTGCATAATATTATTTTAATTATAATCTTAATCGGGCTGTTGTAAAAATCGACCTGAATCGGAAACTTTAACAATGTTACGTCGTATAATCTCTATATCATGTCATTGCTACGTTATGATACTTATTTTTTCAATTATTTATTTTATATTAATCTTTTTTTACTATTTTATGTATAATAATATGGAAAGTATACTTAAGAATTAGAAATTGCTTGAAAGAATGAATCAAGGTAGACATAAAAAATTGAATCTAACGTCCCGGAAAAGAGGAGAGAAAAAAGATGATCAAACAGTTAAAGCAGATAAGCTACTCTTTTTGTATAATCATATCAAGTGAAACATTACTCAGCCAAAAACATTAAATTTTAAATTATTGATTATATTTCAGCCACGATATTTTTAAAAACTATGCCAAAAATATTTGTTTATATAAATTTACTGTTCAGCGTAATATTGATATTACATATATACATAAATAAATCTTTTATCTTATAAAATCTATATAAATAAAGCTTATTCTGGTATGCATATCATAAATTTATGTTACTATCCATTTTTGAATATAAAATTATTTTTTTTATAAATTTTGAATCATATTTGGATTTGTATTTGTCCTTCAAAAAATAGAAAGTTTCAATTATATAGCATAGCCATGAACATGATTTATCAAAAGCAAAATTTGTCAAAATCTTATTTAACTAAAAATTGTAGGGTTATCTGAATATAAAAAAAGAATTGTGCTCTACCCAATTTATATGTAAGGTATTTTTTTAAAAGTAATGTAAATTTATAATCCAGATCGAGGCCACAAAATCTAAAGATTAATTAAAAATTGGTTAATCCAATGACATATAGTAATATCTAGACTGACAATAATTCATTCATAAAAGCATATATCAATGAAAATCAGCTGGAGACGCCATTAACGCCATGTTAATTACCTGCCTGTTAAAATTTGTAATATAAAAAATATATAAAATTAAGGCAATTACTTCAAATAAAATATCCTATCAATTATTCCAAGGCTATTCTTATGTATTTAAGCTTAAACTTATTTTATACGATATTACTATATTATTGTAATGAATTTAAATATTAATAATTTAGAAAATGAAAATAATGCTTTTGATAAAATTAAAAGTTTGATTATTAAAATTGTATAAAATTAAATATAAAATAATAATTAATAATGAACTATTTTTAACAGATCATGATATTAGAAACTAACTATGGAAAATAATTACTATAAATATACCTACTATTTATAAAAATATTTACTTAAATTTAGTTTAAATGTTTGGTATTAAGAAATATGGTGTTAATGAAGTCTCCAGCTGGCATTCATACAAGCTTAAAAATGGATTTTAATGAATGAATGCCAGTCTAGGTTTTATTATATGTCATTGAGTTAATCACCTATTACAAATGAGGTTATATATATTATTTAAAAATCATATAGGGATGCGTATATATTTTTTCTTGCATTAGCAACAACACCAAATAGCCAAATATTGAGGTTAAAAAACAAACCAATAATTGTCAAAATAAAAACGAGGAAATAAGATGATATTGTATTGTTTTTATAATACTCTGAAAAATTCAATTTAATAAACAAGTAGAGAATAAGATGTATCTAGGAATTTTTTTGAAGATCTAGTAATGAAGTGTTACATATAGCATGGGCCAATGTTCTAGAATAAAAATGGACATAGATGTTGACCTAAATATTTCGGAAAAATGCATTCAGTTTGTGGCTGACATTTTAATGTAAATGCAATTGAAATGAGTATAAACAAATTACCTCAGTTATGACTCAGTTCAAAAACATGTTTTTACCTTTCATTCAAAGAAATGTTAAATTTTATTAAAATTGATTAAAATAGTTTATTTTGAAAAATATTTTAAAAATTTGTTTTGAATAAATTTTTTTGAAAAAACTAAGTTCGTTTCGAATGAAACAATATTTTTTTGATGAACAAAGTTTATTTCGAAAAAACTACTACCACCCACACGATCTTAAGGACGAAATACCGTCTTACCCCGAAGCTCCTCTAATTGCAACTAGCGAAGTTAGAAAGGCTATTCTCTCCTTCAAACGCGATTCTTCACCGGGGGTTGATGGGTTTCGCCCAATATTCCTATAGGATCTAACCGCACCTTACATCACACAACAATGCGACGTTTTGGAAAAAATTACTCAACTCATCAACCGTATGCTTGCTGGAGGCTTACCACCCGCCATTATTCCACTCCTTTATGGAGCTAAACTCATCGCCCTCCACAAACCTAATAAAGATATTCGCCCTATCGCTATTAGAACCACTTGGCGCCGATTAACCGCAAAGCTAGTAGTGAGCAGAATATTGTTCACAGTATCTAATCACCTGTGCCCTAATCAATTAGGAGTCAACGTAAAAGGGGGATGCGAGGTATCCTTACACATGGCCAGAATGTATCTACAAACAGACCCCAGTGACGATATCCTAATTAAGATAGATTTTTCAAACGCTTTTAACTCTCTAAAACGTACAGCGTTTCTTAATCCCATCCTTATCCTTTCAGAATACTCGCAATTCATCTTCGATTGTTATGCTAGTCCATCGCATCTTCAATTTGGAGATAGATTGATTCCTTCTAGTAGTGGAATACAACAAGGTGACCCTCTAGGCTCCTTCTTATTCAGTCTGGGCATTAATAGCCTAATACAAAGCATAAATGACCAATGTAAACTAAACCTTCATAACTGGTATATCGACGATGGTATACTAGGCGGCTCACCCAGCGAAGTTATGAAGGCGGTCGAAATAATAAAATCCAGCGAGAGCAGTTTGGGACTGCGAATCAATCAAGACAAGAGCGAATATTGTTTGGAATCATCGACCTTAACTATGATCCTATGTTCAATCATACACCATTGAACTTCTTAACACATCTCGGATCTCCAGTGGGTAAAGACGAGTCCTTTGTCAAGTTCTTCGCCGACACTCTACTAGAGATATCCCTTATGCTCGGTACACTATCTCGCCTCCCAGCCCACCAAGCGTTCTTTCTATTAAAGAACTACCTCCTAATCCCAAAAATTCTATATACACTCCGATCGTCACGTATCTTCCAATACGACGTCAACCTCGCTGCACACGAGCTAGAGATTAAACACCTTACAGAGGATATACTCAATCTCAAATTCGGAGACCTATCTTAGCTACAAGCTACCTTGCCAACCAAATCCGGCGGCATTGGCATACGATCGCCTTCCCTACTCTCTGTTAGTGCGTTCATATCCTCTCGCCTGTCCTGCGAGCCCATCATACACGCACTCACAAAACATCCTGACCCTTTACTTCCCCAGGCAATTGATCTATAGAAATCTCTTTCATTAGTCGATCCTCCCTCATCGACACTGCAGAAGGACTGGGATAAGCCTCTAGTTGGCAACTCCGTTGCATACCTTAAATCGAGGAGCCAACGAGGACCATTCTCCACTCTTCTCCATTTCCGCAGACAGCGGGTATGAATTTCTCGAAGCTTTTCCATCGCGAAACCTTGACCAGCTCCTAAGCAATGATGAGCTACGTCACGCCAGCGGTCTAATACTTAATTGTGATATGGTAATACCCTATCACTGCATCCTTTGTCAAACGCCAGTCAACTCCAAAGGCCGTCACTCTTTAAACTGCAAGCGCTGTAGAGGCAGATTCATTAGACATTCAAAATGCAATGATACTATTGCCAGGGCCCTAAAATCTGCCGGTATCCCATCAACCCTAGAACCCACTGGACTCTACAATTCTGATGGTAAGCGTCTCGGTGGCTCTACCATGATCCCTTGGAAGAGGGGGGAATTTCTAACCTGGGATTTCTCATGCATCGATCCCCTTGCCCCTTCCAATATAAATAGAGATGCTCTAGTAGACGAGACAAATAAACTCGCTAAATATTCGCCATCGCTTCCGGCCAATTACACATTCCTACCACTAATCGCCACGACTCTAACATCGTTCGGCTCTCAGGCCCTTGCCTTCTTTAAAGAGCTGGGGAAACGGATCTCTACTAGGACCGAAGATCCCAACGAGAGTTACTACCTACGCCAAAGATTAGCCCTCAAAATAATAAAATCCAATTACCTCAGCTTCATATTCTCAGTGAC